TTAGGCTATGTTCACACAGAGGGGCTTCATCCTGAAATATTTACTGAGATCTAAACTTTGTTTGTTTACATCATAATTTAAATCTGACCTCCATCAGACTCCAGGTTGAATCCCGAAAAGACCAACATGACGCAGCATGCTGCACTCACAGGAGCAAGCGAGGCTGCTGCATACGGATCAATTCTAAAGTTGTTTTTCAATAAGAACCCAGAAACTTGTGACCAAGTGCTAAAGGTAAGCTTGTTCTGTTTGTTGTTTACATGTCTTCTTGCAACAAAGCAAGTTTACTGAGAAACTGTTTTTTACTTGTTTTTAAAATATGATCAGTCACCCTGAGTTTCACACAGGCTGAACATGAAAATAGTCTCCTACACCGATCTCCTGCATTAGCTTCTGATGGAAAACAGACAGTGAAACTATAGGATTAGAAAATCCTGACAGATCTACGTCACACTGTCACTTCACTCACTGCCAGCCGTTTCCTGATCGCTAAAGCCCTTCGCTGTCAGCGTTTCTCGCCATTTTTACTGTTTAAGAATCACAGAACATTGTTCGCTAAGATGATGTCGACGCCAAAACTACTAAAACTAAGAGAAGGCTCACCTCGTAAATCAGGAAGAATCCGCGCGTTTATCTGTTCTTTCATAATCCGTTGTCGAATTGTGATCGGCAGAAGCTTTTCCGGTTCGCGCCTCACTTTTTTTTACAGGAACGGCCCAAAACGATCTCCTAACACATGGATGTTCTGCTTCCTGATCATGTGATCTGTGACGTATGCGGATGAAGATCGGCTTCAGAGCTGAGATGTTTGTTCTCTCAGCACGGGGGCTCGTTCCGATGCCCAAACATAAAAAAAAATGCAAATTTTATTCAATTCAATTTTATTTATATAGCGCCAAATCACGACAAGAGTCGTCTCAAGGCACTTCACAAAATAAACATTCTAATTCAGGTCAGTTCATTAAGCCAATCAGAAATAATGTTTCCTATATAAGGAACCCAGCAAATTGCATCGAGTCACTGACTAGTGTCAGTGACTATACAGCAATCCTCATACTAAGCAAGCATGCAGCGACAGTGGAGAGGAAATCTCCAGAGAATCCTGGCTCAGTATAAGCAGCCATCCACCACGACTCACACACACACACACACACACACACACACACACACACACACACACACACACACACACACACACACACACACACACACACACACACACACACACACACACACACACACACACACACACACACACACACACACCAAGCAATGTGTCTATGGTTGCATTGTGACTTAGTCGTCATTGAGCGCCGTTATGGCTGTTCTCGTGGTCTGCCTGTATCTGTTCTGTCTATATGTGTGTGTGTAACCTTGGTCAGGCTGTTCTGTGGAGTCAAGTTCCTATGCTCTCGTTCGCTGGAGCGCTGGCAATAAAATTCTCTCTGATTCTCTCTGATTCTGATTGGCAGTGAATGAGTTAACTTTCAAGGACTCCATGTTTTCTTCTGGCCAGCTTAGGGGCCTGCGCCTGTCGATGCCGCACACTAGATGAATGGCTGGACATACGAATTACGGAAGTTGTGTTACCACTTTCTAGGGATGTATATGGTTAACCGGTTAATTGCTGTTAATGTTGTAACCAGGTAAAATACTTTTGCCCGGTTAACTGCTTGGCCGAGCGGTATTGCAGATTCAGAAACTGCAGCGCCAGAAAACTAGCATCAAAATTCTCTCAATAGAATTAACTTAAGGACCATCAAAGTCTGAGGAGTCATGCAGAGGTCGCATGCTTTCTGCTTCACAGGAAACAACATTTACTGTAATGGTTTTTTAAACAAGCAACAGTCACAGCAATATGGTGTAAAACTACTAGGGTGTAACAGTTCACAGGGTTATTTGAACCGTTGCGGTTTGGGCAGTTTGGTTCGGTCCACTTGCGTACCATTACCGTTTTAATTTTTCCCCTTTGGAATAATGAATTTTTCACGCATTTGCGTGATCTAAGTGCAGCGGACAAAAGTTCCTCGGTGAGTTTACGCACGGATGCTGTATTGAGTGACGACGCATGATGGCTGCACGAGCCCGGTCTCCGTTCAAAAAATGTGATCTTCAAATTCTAATCAACGTCTTTCAGAGCGGATCAGACCAGTTGACTGTCGCTGCTGCTGTGGAGTCTGTGTTGAGACTCTGAACGGAGCGTCGTGTCGCCTCTCCCTCCCTTCTCTCCCAGTGTGCAGGCACGCAGCGGCAAACAAGTAAACAACCATGCTGAACTTTTCCGCTGTGACAACTGATGTCAGTTTTTCATCTTACGACAAAAATACGGTGCGGAGGAAGCTCGTTATTTCATACAAGTTTTAAAGAAGAAACTCTGGGCGGTGTGAGGTCAGTTTTTAAGAAATAAAAACACGTCAAATACAGCACTCGTCTGTGTGACGTCGGGGACACACCGGCCGCCGAAGCGCCGCGAAAAGGGGACCGCCTTCATTCGGCGCCCTTGTTATCCTATTCTACAGACCAAATGGGCCGCTGAAGCGCAGCGCGCCGGTACTCCAGCCCGCGCCGTGCAGCGATCGTTTCGGCGTCTGCTCCATTTTGTTCATGAGCCGCGGGTGAACCGCATCAATTCTGGCAGGAAGTAAAACTTAGACATAAGAGGCAGGCCGGTAAATTTAACAAAATAAAGCATTTCAAAATACAATTCTGCGATAGTGAAATGTGTTCGTAAACAGACACTTGTGTGTGTGTGTGACCACGGAGCAAACAGGACAGAGAGGCAGAAAGTCGTAGGCCAGCTATTAACAACTGGTTCACACACACACACGTACAAACAGCAAGGGGGAGGGGGGTGTAGAGGAAAAGAGCAGAGAAAAGGCAGAGAGGAAATGGAGGACACCAAGTGGTTAAAAGAAAAACTACGAGGCGCGCCTCGACCGGAGCGGAGAAACAAGCATCTGGTCTGAACTGAGGAGCAGCGAGCAGCGGCCGAATTTCGTGAGCGCTTCGCCTCCCGGCGCTTCGGCGGCCGGTGTGTCCCCGGCCTGAGTGCGCTGCGCAAATCATAGACATGAATATGTAGATGCACGCCCCATTGGGTGCTGGAGAGTGTAACAGCATCGCCGCCATGTTGGATGGGTCTCCTCACTCTCCAAAGTCAATGCAGAATGAGCAAATATGCCCCTTTCAGTGCAGCCTACAGTTACAACAATCAGCGTACAATTGAAAACTATTGAAAATGGATCACATGGGATTACTATTGGCTTTGCTAGCCCACCTGATAGTTGGGTAAGCACCTTCCTCAGTAGAAATGAATGTACTGGGGGCTAATCTATCTAAAATGGCGGTCGGCCACTACGGCATCTCCAATAGACAGTGACAGTCGACGGGGCATCTATGTATATATATGTCTGTGCAAATAACCTGTGAAATAATTAAATACATCATGCTAGATTAGCAGCCTGTGATGACACCCTGTTCTGCTCACTATAGGAGCCGCTTCAGATATTAAATAAATAAATAAATCTAATAATAATATACCAACAATGAATCGAACCGAGCCCTTCGAAATACTGACCCGAACCGAATACGAGTTTCCTTTACAATGTTCATTATGTCCTCTTTTTTAATATTAAACGAGGTTCTTTTCGTTTCGGACATGAAGGTGTTTCGAGTTACCTTGACATGCTTCGACCGTCGTCTGCGGTCTTCCTCAGAAATGCCACAGATGTTTGTGTGACGCATCTTTATCAGCTGTTCTCCTGGTGGGCGCAACCAACCCGGATCTGTCAGATCTACCGCGACATTTCTGAGGAAGACCGCAGACGACGGTCGAAACATGTCAAGGTAACTCAAAACACCTTCAAGTCCGAAACGAAAAGAACCTCGTTTAATAAACGAATACGAGTTTAGCGTACCGTTAACACTCCTAAAAACTACCCTGAAATGTATGCATGTACTGCCCCCAGTAAACTACACACAGACACTTTAAAACATCTGTGTTGCAAAGCAAAGAGACGGTGGTAGAGTAACGTTGTTCTTAGCCAATCAGAGGCAAGATGTCCAAATATCTGAAAAATAAGACTTCAAGTCCTGCTGTGTTCTGCTCCAGCTAACTTCCAGTTCCTGAAACAGGAGGACCAGAGCTTTCTTCCCCACAGAAATCGACTCATGTGTACTAGACAATTTCAAATGTGTAGAAAGGAAGGAGTGAACTTTGTCTTTAATGAATGCAAAATTTATTTTATTGTAAAATTTAAAAAACCTGTAACGATAAAGATTTCTTATGTGAATGAAAAGAACAAAGTATTTTCATTTTTGTAGGAAAAATCTCTGTAGATCTGAAACAACTGCAAAATGGTCTCACGTGTTTGCTTAGTAATAGAAAAGCCTTCAACCCTCTGGAAGTGCTGGAGCAATACACTTCAGACAAAACTTCAGCGCACAGGCCAACATGAAGCACTTACTGACTTCAGAAAGCTGGTGAAAGGCTGAGAAATAGAGCTGCAGCTGCTCCAATGAACCTAATCACGTAGTGCTGAGAACTTTGTTTAACTCCAGTCCGAGCTGGAATACAACCTCATTACAGGTATTAACGTCTTCTGCGTGCTCAAACATCAGTATGATGTCAGCTATGACACTCAGGTTCACAAAACACTGATTTAAGGAATTTTGTATCGTTTACAATAATAACTGACAGAAATATGACCTCTAGAAAACATCATTTAGATACTAAGAACAGACCTTAATAAATGTAGTGATGTCATCATTATCATCATCATCATGAAAATGAGTGAGAAATGAGCAAATATCTGAATTTTATCTGGTAAAATTAGTTCATTAACTCATCTTTCATCACTGAGACCTTAGTGAAAAGTAGCAGGTTAGAAAAAATAACAAACCCATCTAAATGGTCCATTCTTTTTTTGCTTTTAGTTCTATAACGAGTCAATAAAACACCATCCTGTGTGTGCGTGTGTGTGTGTGTGTGTGTGTGTTACCTTCCACAGATGGTGCTTGGTCCTGAGCAGCATACAGCATCTCCTTGAAAGCCTACAGACACGACAAGCAGACATATTCAGTGTTGCGATTTACCTAAATGAAATTGTTCTGAAGGCTTTGCAGGCGTTAAAAAAAATTTATGTAGCGCTTTGCTGAGGATCACTCACTCACTCAGTCACTCAGTCACTCACTCACGTAAACTGGGGGGGGGGGGGGGGGGGTACCATTTTGCCTCACTGGCCCCACTGACCGTAAGTTTCAATTCAAGTTTATTTATATAGCGCCAAATCACGACAAGAGTCGTCTCAAGGCACTTCACATAATAAACATTCCAATTCACAGTTCATTATGCCAACCAGAAATAATGTTTCCTATATAAGGAATCCAGCAAATTGCATCAAGTCACTGACGAGTGTCAGTGACTATACAGCAATCCTCATACTAAGCAAGCATGCAGCGACAGTGGAGAGGAAAACTCCCTTTTAACAGGAAGAAGACACAGACACAGACACAGACACACACACACACACACACACACACACACACACACACAAAGACAAGTAATGTGTCTATAGTTATATTGTGATGTCTTAGTAAATATTGTATTTGGTGAAAGATAAACTTTATTGTATTTATCCTAGTGGATCTATAATTAACCGGATAAACTAGTAGTAGCACATCAAAAGTCAATGAAAACAAGCATCTTGCCCAAGGACACAACAGTAGAAATCCCAGGAAGTAGCTGGGATTGAACCAGCAACCCTGATCACTAGACAACCTGCTATATCTCCCGAGCTACTGATGTCCCCATCTTATATCACCAGTTCTTTATTGATACACTGCAAGGCTGCAATAACAGAAATAAACCAATGACTGACCAAAGATTCAAGACCGCCAAGGTACTCTCCTTCGGGTACCACCCATCACACACCTGCACCTGACCCCCTTGGCCCCTCCCAGAAGTGGTGAGCCTATTGGATGGGGGAGCCACGTCTCCTTTATGGGCTGTGCCCGGCCGGGCTCCATGGGTGAAAGCCCATGGCCTGGTTCTAGAGGGGGGACCCTGGGACCCGTGTCCGGGCAAGGGAAAAGAGGTACGTGGGCTGCACTTTGTTCACTCACCCTCATTGTCCCAGTAATGCATTTTTTAACACTGTTGTCTTCTGGGAAATGTAAAAATAAAATAAAAGTCCCTTGTGTCACTTTACAGCAGTCATAGGTTTTTACTATCCCTGGCCAAGAGGGGACAACAGTGGAGAAAAACGCGAGTGAGTGAGTGAGTGAGTGAGTGAGTGAGTGAGTGAGTGAGTGAGTGAGTGAGTGACCTATTGATTTGATTAGGTTTGGTAATAGACCCATACCAGCTAAATAGTTTTCTAGTTAAACAAAAGGATTGGCTGCATGCTGCACTTTGAACACCACAGCTGTGATGCCTCACCATGCGTACCGTCCTATCATACTACTGGACTGTGTTGTGTGACGCCAGCCGCTCCTCCCCAACCATACCGCTCTATTATTCAATGTAGCTACAACTGAAGGGGGGCCATGAACGGCGTGGTCCGGGTCGGTTGTATGGACTACTTTTATAAATGAAAATGACATATATAGTAGCTATATATCTAATATAGTGTCCCAAAAGCTCCTACCATCCCAGAACCTTCAAGGGAACCGAGGACTAATAGTCATCTCAACCTCAAAGACTGATGATATACTTTATTTCTTGATAATATATAAAACGTTTTAATTCCAGATGTTTATTGTCCAATAACTGCACTCCATCACACCACACTGATCATCTAATCACAACTGAAATACAAATATCTAGGCTATATCTTGACCTGTAGCAAATGCTAATATTTGCCTAAGTTACTGTTTAGCGCTAGGATACGTAGGGGTGGCATAACATTGTTGTACCACCTGAATGGTGGAGGACCAGCACAGGTCACTCTGAATGCTGCCCTAGAAGCCTTTCAAAAGCAGCATTTGTAAATACTATTTTACGCAACACTGGAGGATTTTAGTATAGGACTAAATGAGACAGATGATTATCGGTTTCAACCCCTGAAGGGAAAAGTTGGAAGAGAAAGAAGATTGTAGCATTTTGTCATCCTATGCCACATGTAGGGCTTTGACTGTTTTATGGATCTTCATTCTGCTTCATGTTGTGAGTTCATAAATCTGCAGTGCACGCTTCAACTAGTCACCACTGTGGAGACTGGGAGTAGACAGACAGCTGTTGGGAGACAACAAGACAATCAGACTCTTATTCCAGCCAGCTCAACAATGGGATAGTAGAGTGGTTAGTGACTGCTTCAGAAAACCAGCAAAGTAATGGGACCATAATGAACTCAGTGTGCAGCAGATGGGACAAAAATGCTTCTGTAAGGCCAGCATGGCCTCAGCTTCACCAGAACACAACAGAACCGCCTGTTCAACAGCTACATTTATATTAGGACAGGCCCATGACTAGATATGCTAGGATGCACTTTTCTTTAGTTATTGTTAGTTCTTCTGGTAATGTGGGATAAAACAAAAAACATCACATCAACGATTTTCTTAAACTACTGCACACCCTCATAATATACGTGGGTGCTGTGTATCTCTCCAACATATCCCCTCACTACCTGCTGGCCACGAGTTAACAGTTCATCACTCAAGAAGACATGTTCTCCAATTAATGCCCCTCCAGGTCACATGGCCCTTACCTGCAAAAGTGTGTAAATATTTCACCATAAATGTGTGTCGTAAATGTTTTTGGGAATAAGACAGAAGGTCCTAAATGTTCATGATACAGAGATTATGCACCATCATGCACCATTCAACAAGGAAAATGGAAATTTACAGTACAATGCAAAAAGTCTTTGCTACTTGTTAGGTAAGAGTTCAGGTAGGAATGAACTTAATACACCAGCGTTTCCCCTACACAGGCTCAGGCGTGGCGCTGTGGTCCGCGCCAACGCCTCGCCTGACATTGCCCCAAATTTTTAAAGCACTCTGGCTTAAAATGGGTAGCAACGAGACTTGTGGGGAGAATTTCAGGAGCAGCACCGTTATACATAAAAATAATCCACTGGTGGCTTCCTAGCAAACATTCCAACATTTAATGACATTTGAAACAAAGTCAGTCTGAGACTTCCCTTCGTGTTGAAAATGAAAGTTGAACTGTCTTTTCTTGCCGCGAATTCAACGTCTTTTGGCACGTCTCATTTGGACGTTTAATAAATAAAATTTGGGCTTCTTATTACTGTAAAAAAACTCTGATTGCCATCTGAATCTGAATCTTGTATGTCCCAGCCTGGATTCGAACCTGGGTCCTCTGCATGTAAGTCTTCCTAGATGAGCCATCTCTTTGAAACACAGAAGACCGCATGAGCTCCAGAACCGGATGACAGGCATCCCTCTCCCTCTCTCTAAGCCCTAAACTACGTTACGTGAATGGATATAGGGCTTGTGATAGTGACGTCATCACCAACACATCCGCCCTGTTGGAGGCGTGAGTCCTTACTTGTTGCTTGTTACTACTGTACTGTACTACGCTCAGTCTCTTTCTTACGGCTTAAATTAATGTGATTACACAACTCTAGTAAACCATTGCTGTGTTGTGGAGTAACACACGTGATCGCCAAGGGAATAAAGGTGGAAAACAAGCTAACCTTTCACCGTTTTCCTGCTTAGAGGCAAAACCACAGAGACCAAGTATCTAGCTCACATATGTCAGAGTCAAGGCCCGTGGGCCAGATGCGGCCCGCGGAGCATTTTTATGTGGCCCGCGAGATAAATATCAAAAATAAATTAAAACTGGCCCACTGGCCGATTTTACCGCAAAGACTTCAACTCCCATGATGCTTTGCGGCGTCAGCGAGGAGCCGACGAAGCCTCCTCCTTTGTGTTTTTTCAGCGCCTGCTGCCGGTGTCTGCAGCTCCGCTGTCTCGGACAAACACTCCTCTCACTCAGCGCCGAGTTTACTCAGCTATTTGCCGACGTTGAAGCCCAGAAACGGATATTCTAGCCGCTCAGTAATGCGTTCACGACTTAAAGAGAAAGTTTTCCAACTAACTTCCAGACAGAGCTGATATAACTCCAGCGACACGCTCAAACCAGCACGGCTCTGTGGTTGTGTTTCCCCCACGACACACAACAACGTGGTCAAGCTGCTCAGACATGTTCAGCAGCACAAACCTATGTGAGCACCTGTTGTCATCTAATGTTGTCATTATTATGATGAAGATGAACAAAACAACAGGAGTCTCCTCCTCAGCTCAGATCAGCCCCATGATGCAGGTATCTGGCTGGAACAGGTGAGCATCACAGTAAACCAGTGGAGCAAACTGAGCTTTAAATATGTTGGTTTTATGCTCTTTTTCTGCTCCAAAACATGAAAGTTAACAGGTGAGATGTTGCATTTTCATTTAAGATAAAATGATATTTTTATTTTGTTGTTGGCCCGTGAGAAAAGATTTAACCTACAGTAAACAGGAAGTGGAAAGGCTGCAGACAGATGAATAGAATAGAAAATCCTTTATTGTTTCTGAGTGGGGAAAGCTAGATGTCACAGCAGCGATGACACGTATTACAGGAGAAAAAAAGGAGGATAAAAATAAGAAAAATGAATAAACAAGAAAACATAAATCCTGAATAGATTTTAAAAATGCTGATTATACCACAAGTAATGAATACCACTGATGCCTTTTATTTAAAACGGACTTGCTCGTGTGTGATTCGGTTATTCCACATTCAGTGTTAATGCAGAAATATGTTTGTTTCTAAATTTAAAGGTTCAAAATTGCATATATGTTGATAAAGATAATGTGCAAATTTGTCATCACTTTTTCAAAAATATTAAGTTTGGCCCTCGACTCCATCCCAGAGTTTCATTTCGGCCCCGTGTGAGTTTGAGTTTGACACCCCTGGTCTAGCTTAACAAAATGTCGTTGGCTCGCAGCTATAAGGCGACCAAACATCACCTTCTGGATTATTTTCATTCTGGTAAATTACAGATGGTGTACGTTTTTTATACATCGTTTCTTTCCTTCAACCGTGACAAGCACAT